GCAGTCCTCCAGGATACATAATCTACTCAGGCTGTATGCAAAATTCTAGGGTATGTGCAATTTGAGAAGGAGAGAGTTGGCATCTTTTCTCAAATTTCCAAAGGACTCTATGACCCAGCAAAACAAATGACAATTTCACCATCATCATGGAAACTACCATCTATCAAGTTCTGCCCATATACCAAGAGAATAAGAGCACCTGCCTCCAAGAGCTATGGGGAGGATGAACTAGTGGATGTTTGCACAGCAGTCTGAGCAGCACCTGGCACTAGGCAAACACTTTGTCTGCTTTAGTATATTTCACCATTTTAATTATTATTATCCATTATCATCATTTTCATTGCCTCATTAGTCCTCACAAAAACTTTATGAGGTATGTGTTATTATCACTCCCACTTTATAGAACAGGAAATACAAGGCCTCAAAAGATTTAACAATTAGTTCAAGTCCATAGAATAGCAGAGAAGGAACTCAAGACCAGCCTGGCTAGTTTCCAGGCTCAGGCAGTCTTCTGTCTGGGTGCTCAAGGCAGTAGGACTGCTCAAGTAGCCTGGGAGGCCAGGCTGAAGAGGACAACAGGTCTGAGACCTTTGGCTAAAAGGGCAAGCAGGCCTATCGGGATCTGCACCTCCCCTAATCAAGAACAAAAAGCCAAGCAACTGAAAATAATGATAATTAAAATGGAAAACCACCCCCTGCCACTGGTTATTCTAAGGCTCAGTGCCTCCAGTGTCTCAGAGTGCACTGAGTTCAAGGCAAGAAGAAGCAACCCTGTGGCTGTCCAGCCCCCCCTGGATGAGCTCCAAGCAATGTTTTTCCTTCCAAACTGACACATAACTCTGCTGAATAAACCACTTGAAAGCCAAAAGAGATGCCCTTAGGTTGCCATGGCAATGTTACACAGACAAAACATTTTAACCAGCTCTGACGCACACACACAAACTTACTTAAGGGTCAAGTGGACCAGATTTGGTGGGGGACAGGGACTGAGGTGGAGAGTGTTATTTCTAGAGCTCCATCTCCAAGGATTTGGCTCCCATAGCTTCGAAGTCAGACTGAAACAGGGTAACAGACTTGTTCTGGGAAAGAGAAGCTACTGCCATTCCCTCTCAGCATTCTAGTCACGGTCAAAATCCTTTTTCTGAAGACCAGATGCCAGGCGCTAAAGTCATGGATGCTGATGGAAAAGCATCAGGATAGAGTCCTAATATGACACTATACAATTGGCACCTGTGTCTACATAAAAGGTAGACAGTGTCACAGCAGCCATAGCAGATCAGGAGGACAGAATGTGCTCACCCATGTGAAAGAGCTCGTACACAAAGGACCATGCAGAAGTGCACTAGTGCTAACACGGAATATACTACCACACCCTTCCAACTGGACAGTATTTTTATTTCCCAGATCCCCTGGTTGAACTTCCCTCAGGAGTTAATGGCCTTAGATTTGGTCCTTTAGAAAACTCTGCTCTGGCGTGGTACTAGTGGCTTATGCCTGTGATCCTAGCTACTTGGAAGGTGGAGACTGGAAGGATCACTGTTTGAGGCCAGCCTAGGCAAAAAGAGTTTGTGAGATTCCATCTCAACAGAAAATAGCTGGGCACAGTGACGTGCCTGTCATCCCAGCGATGGTGGGAAGTATAAAATAAGAGGGTCACAGTTTAGGTTTGCCTGGGCAAAAATTGAGACCCTCTCTCAAAATAACCAGAGCACAGCAGTACAGCAGCTGCCTAGCAAGTCCAAAGCCAAGTTCAAACCCCAGTAGTATCTCCCCACAAAAAAAAAAAAAAAAAACTTTGCTCTGGGGCCCACTGAGGGTTGCTCCCCACCCAGGGGGTAATGAGAAGCACAAAGCTTGGCCTGGGTCTGAAAAGATCTCCATGCCTATAGGTCTGTGGTACCCTGGGCACAGCAGGGCAAGGTGCTAATGTTGCCCAGAAGGGACTCACCAGATGTAGCTCTTGGTGATTTGGGAAGATCAATGAACAAATGTTTGAAAAACCTTCCTCCGTAGGTTCCATGCCACCTTCTGGCAAACAGAAATGGGTTCCACACCTGCTGTCTCTGCTTGGAATCCTCTTCTACCCACAATCCCCCATTATTGAAGCCTCTTGCCTTTCAAGATTCACCCCCTACAAGTTATTCTTAACTCTCTTTCCCTGGAGGGTGGAATAGGCCCTTCTGTACCTTGCACAGGTGTCTGTGGTGGAAGTTTCAAAGTTCTATTGTTCTAATTGTTTTCTGGTCTCTTGCCCACTCATCTGAGTTCTCTGCAGACAGGGATCATGTCTTACTCACCTGGCCTAGCTCAGGGCCTAGCATTAGTAGACATCCTGCAGCTGCTGACTGACATGCTAATAGGATGCAATGGCATGAACATTGGATTTAGGTGACTCTGTCCCTGGAATTCTTAAGCCCATTCCAGTGTGTGCCTTCACACTTCTCCATCCTTTAAAGGAAGAGCAGAAACTGGAGCTCTTGGGCAGGCTAGCAGTGAGGAGCAGTGAAGAGGTAGGAAAAGGTGCCCTCTCTTCTAGGTTTGCTCCTCCTACAAAGCTCCAGCTCCTCCCCACAAACCAACTGATGAAATGAACTGGCCCATAAACACTGGGATGGCACCCATTCCACTCCTGCACTGGAAGAGTTGTTTTGGTTCTGTTATTAATGACTCCTGGTAGATACTTTGTTTCCTTAGGCAGTAATCACAATAACTCTATGCTGATTATTTTGGAGGAGTCAGCTACTCTCTCAACAGGATACATGTCCCAAGTTCTTTTGTGTCATCTTCCTTCTGCAAAAATGATACTCTCTTCCAAATGGGCAATATTTAAAACAATAGCAACAAATGATTATCATTGGTCGCTCTAAATAAAGCCTTGCAGGGAAGATAACCTCTTAGGAATCTAGAAATGGTGGCCTGCACACTGTGCCATGTTCTCAAATTACACTTGCCATGAGTAGAAATGCTTTAACTCTATGTGCTCATGCTCAGACAGACAGACAGACACACACACGTGTTCTATTAGCCTTCTGGTGAGCTCTGCCTTGTGCATTTGCCACTGATTTATAATATAGGGAGAGGACAATAGCCCTGTTTCCTTTTTTTTTTAATTTTTATTTTATTCATATGTTCATACAATGTTTGGGTCATTTCTACTCCCTTCCCCCACTCTCTCCCTTATCCCTCCTAGCCCTGTTTTCCTTATCACCATCCTTCTCATTTCCCACAGAACAGAATGACTATGGTGAAAATTCTTACATTTTCCTGGACTCACATTGTATTTGCTGAACTATTCTCTGCTACACTGATTTACCACAAGACCTTGTCCGCCTCCCCACCCCCAAAATGGAACTAATTATCACAGATAATTATAGGATTTTATATTCCTATGTTCTAAAAAAAAAACAAAACAATCCACACACACAAACAATAATACTAACAAAGCAGAAAGAGTTATGGAGAAACCACAAAATTGCATTGCTGCTACAGCAGTATTTATAACATATTTGCATATAAAAATAAATTGGCACAGAAGAATTCAAGATGATATTATTTTCTAAGCTTGAAAATAGATTTTAATAGCAAGCAACACCTCCTATAAAAGGTGCAGAAAATAGAAATGCACTGAATAGAATAAAAGAATGACTACCTTCAACTGTCACTTCTACGTATGCATAATAATAGGCTAGGACACTTGCACTAATATTGATCCTGGAGGGAAAGAATGCATTTCTTTTATGTGAAGATATCATTGTCCGTGTAATATACTTACACTAAAATTAAGTCTTCTATCAACCAATTTTTTCTCAATTATTAATATACCAGACAGCTGCAGTAGCTCTAGCAAAAATAGCAGCTATGCTTTTCTGAAAGTCAAACCAGCTATGAGATGTCTGCCTAAGGATTCTCCTGTGTAAGGAACGGTTGTTCTCTGGATGGAACAAAAAGAAACAAAACATCCAGGGAAACAACAAAAGGAAACTTGCTTCAGATGTCTCCCCATACACACATCAGCCTCTTTATAGTAAAACTGTTTTTGTGCATGAAAAAAAGTTGTTTGAAAAGGCTGCTTTCTGCCCAACTCTCTGGGATAACAAACAATTCAGAAAATTAACCAGTGAACTCAAGAAACGTCAATTGCTTTGGTATCTCCATGAGACCTGTCTAATCATGCCTACTTAAAACAGAGTGGAGTGGGGTTAGATAAATAAACTACATCCTTTTTTAGACTGCTGAAAGTAAGTGAATTCCCAGCAAAAACAGTGCCTTAAGTTGCCACTTTCATGTTTTAAACAGGTTTTAATGTCCTCTTAACCTCATTCTTTGGAAATGAAAAAAAATTCCATTTGGAGCATCACAATTCACTTCTCTCTGAACTCAACAATGATCACAAATTTCAATTTAAAGATCATGTACAGTCCAAGAAAAGAACAGATTTTGAAGATTAGCTTTTCAGTTTTTAAAGCTATGATATCATAGCTTAAATGCATCATACCAGCAAGACTATAACTTGTCAAGGTTAGGCTGAGAAGGGTACACATGTTCATTTACATTCAGTGCCACAGAACTGATTTCATGTCATTCCAACCTTTAAAAGCAACCCTAGCATGTGTCCTATTTCTAATTAGTAAGATACCATCACCTCATCCAAGCCTCAGCACTGCACACAAACAGAAGTTGTTAAGGTCTTTGAGTCACAAAAGTTCATGTTCTAAACAAGCATGTGTTTGTGCCCATTCTGCATAATTTGTGTCTAAGAACAAGGACAATATTTCTTTTTCTCTGCCTTACAATTTATATAAAATCATAGCCATTTTACAACAAATGCCAACTAATGTCAGAGAAGCAGAGCACAGCTACTTGCAGATGGCTGTTAGTGTATTAATATAATCCCCTGGAGCAAAGCATCTAGTCTGAATGTTTCTCGAGATGGTCAGTATCATTTAGAGGCAGGACTTGCTAACATAGTACAAACAACTCACTACCCCTCTACCACTTACCATTTGCGATCTGTTCTTTGGACAGCCATTGATGTCTTCAATCTTTTCATTTGCTGAAAGAGGAAACACAAGTCAGGAAAATGATCACCAGAGAGATACCTTCAGTAGTGATGCTCAGTACTCTCAGGCCCATACTGGGGTTTGTCCAATCCACACAGGCATGTGAAATACTGGGCCACATCTAGCAAGCTTCAGGACTTACTCATCAAGCCGCCGTCCCTCCTCCAGGGACAGCTGGGGCAAGGTCGTCATCACTTAAAACAGAGACAACTGCATTGACAACAGTCTTGCAGGAATGGGATAGTGTGGCAGTGTTGGGAGACTGGGAAATAGAGTGAGCTGTGACTATGCTTTGGGTTCTGAGAGCAAACGTCATAGCAACCTCCCCACAAAAGATGCGACCATCCAGTATGGATCAGTCCAGCTGCAATTCAGCTTCTGGGGACAGAAGCTACAAGTAAAAGAAGCTCCCTCATCTTTACCTGGAAACACTACTGTTGCTATTGTTCGTCTTAATATCATTCTCAAAGTGATGGCAATTGGGAAGAATGAGACAGTGAAATGCAAAAATAGCCTGATCAAGGCCAAGTTAGATTGGAGAACAGGCATGCTTGAAGTCAAAATGGAACTGTGCTACTGAGAAGAAAAAGGAAAAGGTTGCATTGCATTAACAGGAAATAAGGTACTAATAAGGAGGAGGAATGGCCCAACTTCTCAGGGTGAATGCAGGCCATTATAAGGATGGAGGAATCCCTGGCAAGACACAGCTCAACATATCCATGGAGGGGGGAGTTAAAGAATGCACAAGAAGGGCAGCATATATGGTGGTGAGAGCACTGGCTCTGCAAACAAAGGCAACCCAAACTGCATCCAGCTCTTACGTATTCTCAGCTGTGATCTTCACCATGTCACTCAACCTCTCTGGGCCACAGGTTCCTCATTCATAATATGTAGCTAATACTACCTACTCCAGAGCAGGAGCAATGAGAATTAGAGGATGCAATACCAGTAAAGAGTGCCAATGGGCTTTCTCTAGAAGTATCATTAACCTTATGATATATATTCTTATCTTCTATGTAAAATACATGAAATAAAAACTTCTTCTTGGTGGCTCTTTGTGAGCTGGACTCAGAAACTAAGTACAGCTACATAGTCAGGAACTAAGGCTTTGTCTTCTCTGAAGCCTTTCAAGTCTCCTTCCCAACTGCATGGCCCTATGCCCCATGCCCTCACACCATGCAGGATGAGGCACACTCAGGTCTCTGTTCACACAGCACTCCACACCTGCTGGTTTTGCTCTTAATCACATGATATATAACTCCTCTTTTCTTGTCCTTCCCTCCCAGCCTGGCAGACATGTCAAGTTTATTTCTCACATTTGTATCCTCAGAGCTCAAAAATTACTTGCAAAACTGATTTCCCACCCCCCATCCATCACACACACATAAAAATCAGATCAGATATTAATGACTAAAACCTCCATGAAGAGAAAAGGCATTAAAAACTGTCTGAAAGGATAACAGAATCAAAAAGTCCCCAGCCTTCCCCAAGCCTCCAAATCTCTAGAGCTTCTGAACCTAAATATAGTTCACCATTATCTCAAATTGGATTTATTCTTCCCCAGTGTTTTTACCTCAAGAGAGAAGTGCAAAACAAGAAAGCATGCGAGCAGCAAGAAATTGCTTACAAATCCAATCAGCACAAGACAGCCTGGTTAGTATAGATTCAGCCTGATCTACACCTTCTTTAGTGCCTACCAAAAGCATTAGATGCTCACATTTATGACTCACCTGGGGAAATCCCAATCTCAGAGATTCAACTGAGTTTTCTCAACTCTGCTTAATATAAAAACACTGGAATAGAAATTTTAGAACGAGGTGCCACAAAAAAAAGCAAATAAAAGATGGCCAATGAATGGGATGACTCGTAGACATTTGTTCTTCAGTTCACCTGTTCAGTCCAAGTAGCCAGAATATATTGTCATAATATATTATGATGTAAATGCCTTAAGAACAGACTTTTTTTAAAATCTATTTTTTCCTACTAAAACCCAGAGCTTTAACCATTCAACAAATGTTTGTTGGATAGAACTAAGGAATAAATATTCTGAACACTTCAATGAATCTAGGTTTCATTGACGATTTTGAGGCAGCTGTCCTTTCACTTGTAAATACAGATGTACATACTGAAGATAGGAAAAAATGAATATCCTTGGCAAATGGCATTCCTTCATGCATGGGAAATTATGGCAGGCATGAATTCTGAATTTTGACACTCGGTATTAGAAAGAATAAATATGTGGTTCTGGAGAAGCAACAATGATGGTGTCTTCCAACTGTACACTCAGGATGGCCAAAGTCATAAGTCACTGAATTCTGATCCATACCTAGCTCAACAGTGATCATTAGTGCTCATTGCAATGAAAAATGGATAACTGTAATCCTACAAGTTCACTTGTAAATTTTAAATACTACATACTTTCTGGATAAATAAAACCAAAGATGTTGGTCTAAATACTCTTCTTATTCCTCTTTATGGTCTGTCACCTAAACCTTGTCACATGCTCTGTGAATTCAAATATCCCATGACCTAATATTGCCACTTTATAGCAGACAAAATAAACCCATTGGAGCCTATTTATGACCACTCTAAAGACTCTATGGAAAGACATATATGGCTAATCCAAACAAACTAAATGCTTAATAAAAATGCAAAATAAGTCTTGAGCCTTTTCCAAATTCATATAATTTAAATATTTCTCCTTTACTTAAATTCTCAAGAATTCCTATGGTTGTCATAAATATTTAAGAGTAGCTCTGTTGGTAAGAAGGAAGAGTTGGATCTTCATAGCCAAATGTATTAACTCCAGGGATGGGGGTTTGGTCTTTGGCTAGAACTCAAAAGCAGATAACCAAAGAAGCAAAGGCATTTGTCCCCAGAGTTCTCAACTGTGATAAAAAACCAGCATCTCTAAGAGACAATGGTAATTTATCCCAGCATGTTCAAGACTTAGCCACACTAATGTGGTGACCTGTCTGTACACAAGGTGACAATTGGGGTTGTAAAGCATTGATGTACTCCTTTAGTAACAGCAGTGGCATCAAACCCATTACTTTTCAAAAGATCCCCATCAAAGCATTCTGAGCATTTAACAATATGCAACCTTACCATATCTGACTGTTGGCACCTGCTAATAGGGAGAAACTGGCTGCCCAGAAAGACAAATGCCTTACCCAAGGTCACAAAATGATGGCAGGTTATTGATGAAAGAAGGTACAATCCCACAGATTCTCTGAACTTCCAGGTTATGTGCAGAGGCAGTAGATGGAAGGTGGAAAATGAGCGCCTATCAGATATTCCCATTTCTAAGAAGTCTCCCCCTTTTGCTCCCTCTTTCTCTCCAACTCTCTTTAGTCCATCTATTCCCCTCCCTCCCTCTCTTCTCTCACTCCAGTCTCTTTATCTCCCAGGATGACAGAAATGAGTGCAGGTGGAGGGTACCTCCTCCCTCTCTCAATTCATGCTACTTATCCTGGCCTTGGGAACTTTCCTAATAACTCAGGATGGCACCGTGATGGGCAGGCAGGCAGCTAGCCTCAGGCACCGCACAATGCAAGAAGATGCTCATACTAACAAGGGACTGAGCATGGAGACCCAGCCCTTGGCTGCCAAAGGCAGGGCCCTCAATGGCAGCAGCAGAAGGCCCATTTCTTACTAGTGGGCAGAAGGCAACATGGAAAAGTGCAGGCCCCCAAAAAGCCCTGATATTGGGGAAAGCCAGCTCAGGGTGCCTGGGATAGAAGACATAGGAGTAATGCATGGGAAAAGCATTAAGGTTTCTCCTGAAGTCATCACACCTCTGAAAGCACTTCCTAGACTGGAAATCAACTCAGTACTAAGGCTAACACTGTCCTACAGCAATTCGTTGTCCTCTAGCTGGTGGTCCTGCCTGATTTTGCCTTGCTGATGCTCCAACTCTTCCCTGAAGCCTTTCGGCATACTGTCTCCTTCTCTGCACGCTGCACCCAGTCAACTTCTGCTCAAGTAGGGGGTCTTGGCTTAGAGGCAAATTCCTCAAGGAACTTCTCCCTAACTCCCCACCCTCCCACCAGCCCCACTCCATGGAGGGTCAAGGTCTCATAGTACCACAGGTCTTTAACCATTTTGAGCTGTGTTCCTCTCAGGCCTAGAAAAAGGTTGTTCCTTAAAAGGGATAATCTTGCTACCTACAGGTTTCACTGGGCCTTCATTTAGATGTGTTTTCTTTTCAACTTTAGTTTTTAAATAACTCCAAACTTCTTTATAGAAAAGCTCTAGGAATAGCACAGTAAATTTCCATATACTTTTATTCATTCTTACTACTCCCCCTCCCCCACCTTTTCCTCTATAGACTCATGGATTTTTTTTTCTTTCTGAATCACTTTATTTTTAGTATTATTCTTGATGGGATCCTGCTCTGTTGCCCAGACTGACCTCAAATAATACTCCCAAGTAACTGGGACTACAGACATGCACCACTACAACTGGCCTGAATAATTTTAGAGTAAGTAAGCTACATAAATCATGCCCTTTGCCCACATACTTCAGCAAGTATTTATAAAACAAACAAACAAAAAACAAGGATATTATCTTCCATGGTATAATTGTAAAATTCAGAAAATTAAACACTGTCACAATTCCATTATTTCAATTTTGACAACTGACTCAAAAATGTCTGTTAGAGCATTTTATTGCCTGTATAGGATGCAGTTCAGGATGGCACAGAGCATTTAATTTTCATGCCTCTTGAGTCTCCTTCATTCTGGAATATTCTCAGATATTGTCTTTCATGCACTGATGGTTTTGAACAATACAGACCAGTTTTGGGTTTGTTTGTTTTTTTAACAGAATGCATTACAATTTGTGTTTGTCTATGATTCCTCATGATTAATGTCAGGTTTTCCATTCCTGACTGGAACACAACATAAGCAAGGTTGTGCTCTTCTCAGGGCATCTATCCACCCATCTACCAGTGGATGGGGTCTGGGTACGCCCCTTCATAGTTACTGTACTTGACCTTACAGCTAACAAGCAGACAGTGCAGAGAGATTTTGAGATCATGCAAATATCCTGCCCCTTATCAAGAGTCCACAGATGACTCTTGCCATAAGTAATATTTACCACAATGACTTCTACATTTATCATCAGTTAGCTTTCTCCTGTACAGTCTAGATTTCTTTTCCACTGATGTACTTATTTTTAACTTATCTATTTCGAATCAGTATAGACTTGTAGGTCCATAGTTGTAAGACACTACTGTCCTTTATTTATTTATTTATTTTTCGAATAGCAATCGTTTATTGGTAAGTACCTGGGTTCAACTGCAGATTGGACAGTAGTCAAGTCAAAAGAATAAATGCCTGCTAATCATCAGAAAATCTGTGGCCATTTGGGCTGTCATGTAAAAATCCAAAATAACTCAGAGGCCAAATTTTAAAGACTTGTCCTCTTATTATTCATAAAGAATAGGTCCATAGTACCTGGAATCTGGACAACTCTGTTATCACCTTCTAACCAAACATGACCCACTGGCACATAACCATGGCTATTAAAGAAATCTGATGGACTAGTGGTGAGGATTTTGCCTCCTTTCAAACCAATCACTCTTTTACAAATATTTGATTTTTGGATCACTCAGGCTTTTTGCAATCACAATGTGGTAACATAGAAATTGGATATCATACAAATGTCAACTAAGATTTTCTGCAAAAATAGTATCCGAATTTCAAATTGTAGGCTCCAGAACACATCGGTAGTTCTACAATGCATTTGGTTTGTAGGATTTCCAGACAAAAAAATAATCTAAAGCATATTGGGTAATCCACAGTTTTAGAACTCCTGGGTGCTGCAGAAGTTCCTCTTCAGTTTATTTTGCTGTCCCCAGATTAGCTTGTTCTTTGTAATTCCAGAGAGCACAACTAGTACTTACAGAGGGATTTTGCTTAACGAAACAGGAGCTGCTATAGTCTGAGTATTTGCATCCTGCCAAATTCACATGTTGAAACTAAATTCCCAATGTGATGATATTTGGAGGTAGGGCCATTGGGATTTGATTTATTCATGAGAACAGAGTCTTCACGAATGGGAGTAAAGCCCTCATAAAAGTAGCCCTGGGAAGATTTCTCACCCTTACACCATGCAAGGATGCAGTGAGAAGACGGCCATCCATAAGTCAACATGTCTGCTGGCACCTGGATCTTGAACTTCCCAGCCTCCTGCGCTATAAGAAATAAATTTCTGTTGCTTATGAGCCATGCAGACTATGGTATTTTATTATAGTAGCCTGAAAAGATTAAGACTAGAGATTTTGAAGGTTCCAACTGTCCAAGCTGCCTAAAGAGGGGGCAAACCGCTCATCAAAGGAAGTAACAGGCTGCTGACAGCTTTCCACAGAAGTGATCCACACATCAGGTTAGGGCTTTCAAAGATCCCTTCCAAACCTGACAGCTGAGAGTTTCAGCAGAAGCATAAGATCAGACAAAACAAGTATGAGTGTCCCATTTTAAAGATGGCAAAACAGAGGAAACAAAAGTGAAGTGACCCTCCTGAGAGAGCTCACAGCTGAGAAGGATAGAGTTGGGAGTGAAATCATTTCTCTACTTTCTCTCTTGCTATCTGTGCAGTGAAAACATTCAGCACAACCCCATCACTGGGCCAAAGAAGGCCATATGCCTGATGTGAGCCTGCTGATACGGACTTCAAAACCCAGCTCAGGTGCAAGTAACATCTTCCTTGAAGACCCTGCCAAGAAAATGGTACCATTTTCCCAAGGTTCTGAACCCTGCACACTCATCTCTTTATTCCTAGCAAGAAGCACAAGGCTATCACACAGTAAGTGCTCAATATATAGCTACTGAACTAAAGTGAAGGGAGACAGAGCCCTGCACTAAGTTCAGCATCTCTGGATTGAGAGGAGATAAAATGCAGCAGAGTCATAAACAGAAGATTTAGAAGCAGACTGGCCCAGGTTAGAATTCCCATACAAACTCATGATGTGACGTTGGGCTACTTGGCCTTCATTGGGCCTCCATTTCTGCATCTGTGAAATGAGATGAATACCTTCACTTCACAGAGATGATGAAGGAACTTAATGAGAGAAGTTTCTTAAAGAACTTGTTAAAAGTGATGATGAAGAGTGGGAGGGAGAAGAAGAATTGTAAGACTAATTATGTGACAGATTTTATATGACCTTCTATGATGCCCATACTCTGGTATCCTTGTCCTGATACAATCTCCTTCCTGGGTAAGGACTTATGACTTGTTTCTGACCAACAGAATATGACAAACAGGACATGTGACTTCCACAATCACATTACACTATATAAGAGTCCATTAGGCTAGCAGACTTGCTCCAGAAACTTTTTCCTTGCTGGCACTGATAAAGTGGATGGCCCATATGGCAAGATGCTAACAGCAGCTTCTAGGAGACACGGCCTGCAGCTGGCAACTAGTGAAAAGTCGGTACCCACAGTCCTATAATCCCAAGGAAATGAGTTCTGCCAATGACTAGGATGAGTATGAAGCAAACCCTCCCCAGCTGAGCCCTGAGATGAGGATGTGACTCAGGAGACACCTTGACTGTAACCCTGTCTAGACCTGTGGATGCACAGATGCTGTGATAAAGTAAAGATACATTGTTTTAAACTGCCACATTTGTGACAATTTTTTACACAGCAATGGAAAACAGACTGGGGATGAAAAAGAGGAGGACAAACAGTAGCTAGTCAGAAGAAATCAATCCTAAAACAACTTTCTCTGAGCAGCAGTAGCAGTCTCAAAGTTTCAGCCTATGCCCACCTGCCTGTGTTTCCAGATACCTCTCCACATACTGAGTACAGCTGCAACTATGAAAGTCTACTTACTTCTCACACTTGAAGGATAAACAACTCTTCCAAAATAACACATGTGGAGGCACTGGAGTTTCTGTCCTTTTTCTGTGCCTTCTCCTTTGGCATGAGTCGGCTGCCAAGGCTACCAGAGACAGCAATCAGCCTAATGCTGTCTAATTGACCTCCTGCCTCCTCAGATGCTCTAGCTCTCAGGCAGGACCACTGAAAGGGTCTTCCTTTCAGGCCTGAGGCAAAGCTGTGGCCAGCATCCATTCCTTAGAGCGACCCTCTCCTCCCAGCTCCCAGCAAAGACATTAAAAATTCCATTGCTCAAGTTCCCTTCCTCTAGTATTAAAACCAGAACCCATTAACCATCTCTGGAGTTTTATTCTTTGATTTCTCAGACCCAATTAGAGTTGGTAGAATTAAATCAGCCCCATGTTCCCCCCCGCCTTTTTTTGAAATATTTCCAAAAAAAGTAACATCAGGGGGAAAAATGAGAGCCAGAGAGAGCCAAAGAGATAGCAGGAGGCAAGAAAGGGACAGAGCACCCTTTCCCCCAAAACCACCAGTAGCATTTTCCCCTAGCCCTGGGCAGTCTTTCCACTAAGACAATCAAGATGAGATTGCTCTGTGTGTGATCTTAACAGGAAAACCAAGCTGGTCCCCATACAACCACAATCTAAAGACAGAATCAAATAAACCACCAACACGTGGGACAGAAACGTGGTCTTCTTAGAGACATCAGTGTTCCGCTCTCCTCGGTTTACTCGACCCTTCTGGGCTGGCTCCTCTGTAACCCATGAACTCTCAAGGAAAAATGCGCACTTACCCACAACCTGGATGATCTGGGCCAGGAGCACACCATCGGTCACATCTTGCTGGAGGTCTTTGATGAGACGTTTGTGGCCAGATTTGGCGAGATAATGATTGGCCCAGTCTGTATAGATCTGCAAAAAAGCACACAGACAACTTCAGGAATCCAGTCAAAGCCCATCTCAGGGTCTGAGGCAGCTATTAGCCCGGTGCTTGGGTGCAGCAGCCACCGTCCCACTGGCAAGCTTTCCAGGGCCAGCCAGCACATTAAAATTCAGTGCATTGTGCAGACCCAGCATTCAGCTCACCATAGCAGGCTGTCGCCTATTGAGAGATCTGCCATCAAGGCTCAGGGAAAAGCTAAAGAAAGAAAAAAAGCGTCAAAACATGCAGAGGCCTAAATGGGACAGGGGACAAGGAACTAAACAGTCTGCTCCAGACAGCTCTGAGAGGCTGTGGCTCTAAACACAAATGAAGCCACCCCCATTCCTTCTCATCTTTTTCTCTTTAGGGAGAAAACGTATGGGGAGGTTACCACCCAACAGGCATCTTTGAACAAGCCATTTTAGGGTAAGGAGGGCCACTGAATTAGTGCGTTCTCAGGATCCTGGTCCCTTGTAATGAAGCCAAGTGGGAAAACACAGAGCCCCTTTAATTATGCTTGTGTGAGTGGAGTTAGTTATGGCCTCCCCATCATCTCAAATTCAATCAGTTTAATTTAAAAGCCAGGCATCGTTTTCACTGTTAGAATTCTATGAAGAAAACCCAGCAAATTCCAACATCTTTAAACACAATGGTGTGTACAGCACCCCAGAAGGCAAAAAGCTGGGTCACCTATGCAATCAGGAGAACTGACCCCTGAAGAACACATCAATCCTGCTCTTCTTGGTTGCAGAATCATAAGAACAAAAGAATTTTTTTCCAAGCAGACTACTAGCACAAGAAAACTCTCTCATCTGAAAACTTTCTTCCCAACCATCAAAGTAAAAAACTAACAAAACAAAACGCTTCCCCATCCATTTAGAGTGCTAAGTTCCACGCACAGATGTGTGTGCTGGTAGTAGGAGGTAGGGGTGTGTAGACATGTAGGTACTTGCATATCTGTACCCACCTTTCTCACTGACATGAACAAATGACTGCTTAAAAACAGAACTGTCCACCCTCAACTGATCAGAAGCAGCAGGTTCACATAGTAAACCAGGTGTCTCCACAAAAATGTTAAGAGTGTTTACCTCCCCAGTGGCCTGTTCCAAGTACCCATGTGAGTCACAGAGTAGCAGAAGCTTCACCCTTGGCCTGGCTCTTGCCTTCTGTCTTTTCTTGCCCAATGGGGTGATGCCCTAAAAGTTCCAGGAAGAGGGCTAGAGCCAGGCCTTTCTAGGGAAGTTGTATGTCTGGCTGTTCCACTTGGGAAAGGCGAGGTACTTATCCTGGGTGGCGAGGCAGAGGAGAGAGCCACAACTCAGATATACTCCAACCTCTCATAGACGCTCTCAAGAGCATTCTACTTCACACGTCGTCCCCAGGTATCAAGTCCATAAATCCGTGTTAGACTCTGACCCCTGACTTACAAGATGTCAAAGATGAAAACTCTAGTCAAGCAAGATCATTTTCCATGTAATAAGTACAGAGAAAGTTAAGGAAGTAGAACGGCGTCTTATAATTACAATGGCCAGCCCTAAATTTAAACGATCATTAAAAGAAATTATCAAAATGGAGAGTAGGAAAAAAAACACTAAAAGGATAAGACACCTGAGTTCAGGTCCCATTCTGTAGGCTCCACAAACTGTTTCTTCAGTGATTTTATCCCAAGTGCCTACAACAGCAGAGGCACGTTAGACTATTATAGATATATGGATGACCTTGGGTGCACTACTAAATCTCTCTGAGGCTAAGTGTTCTTACTGTAAAATGAGACCAATACCATGTACTTGTCAGTTATTATGAGGACTGAGTGATACAACAGATTTTAAAAAGTACTTAATGTAGAACAGGAACTTCATAAATACCAATTAACACACGTAGTGCTTGCTGCCTGCTAAGTACTGATCTAACCATTTTACATCTGTTAACTCATTTAATCTTCATTCTATCTGGTAGATACTGTTATAGGTTTGTTCTGTTTGTTTTTGTAGTATTGGGGAGTGAACCCAAGGCCTCACACTTGTACTAGGTAAGGGCTTTACCAACTGAGCCACACCTGCAGTCTATTGTGTCCATTATTCAGAGGCAAAAAACTTGTCCAAGGTCATAGAAAGTGGCAGAGCCAGGCTATGACCCCAGGCTAACTTACTCTAGAATTTCTTAGGCATTCTGCAATACCACTCCTCTGAATAAAATATGAATGGACGCCATTCATCTCCATGATACTCTCCTAGTGACTCCAGACTCATTCCTCTATTTAGTTATGCTCTCATGAAGGAATTATAATTTAAAAATCAAAATCAAACCTTGAATGCCATTGGGTAAGTCACCCAACCTTTCAGCCTAGGCACATTAAGGCCTACCTCAGAAGGTAGTGGAGACTCAGTGAGGCACTGCATGGAGCCCCTGGCCTGACCTGCACGGAGGCTCAGGAAGTGGAGGGGTAAGGGAGAAAGGTAAAGAGGAGGACTTTGTTTGCTTTGAGTTTTAGCTGCTATGCTGCCAATTACCTCTGTCCCCTTTAACCAAGTTGCCCTCATTTGCAAAATGGTGAGGATAGCCTATATCATGGAACTATTGTGAATATGAAATGAGCTCATCTGTATAAAGGACACAGAATCTGGCACTTGCTAAAGTTCAGAAAATAAAAGCTAATGATTAGAAATTTTACTATCAGCCATAAAATGGTAACAAAACCAGACACAGCCTCTACTCTGCCTCTAGGACACAAACGACTCAAGGGTATCTTCTCCTACTTTCAGAAAATTACAAGAGTTTGGAATATCCCTACCTAGAAGTATAAAGTGTGACAGAGTATAAAAGAAATGCAGGTCAGAAACCTGCCAGGTTGGCAAATAGATCAAGACTTCCTTGCTGGCATAGTTTGGATCTAGAAGGCCTGCCAAAGGCAGGGTGGTGCAATTGGGAGATGGTGCAACCTTTAGGGACATAGTGGAAGTTAGGTCACTGAGGCAGGCCCTTGAAGGGGATATTGGGATCCTGGTATCTTCTCTCTCCCAGCCACCTGCCCCCTCTTTCCTGCTGTAATGAGGTGAACAGCTTTGCTCCACCACCAGCTTCTAGTCACAATGTTCTGCCTCACCACAGGCCCAAAGTGAGGGCTCATGACTGACACCTCCAAAACTGAGCCAAAATGAACCTTTCCTCCTTTAAGTTGATTTCTCTCAGATGCTCCAAAATAAAAACTTTTGCTGGGCATGGTGGCACATGCTATAATCTCAGCACTCAGGAAGCAGAGGCAGGGGAGAACACAGTTTTTGGGATCTGACCCAGTTAAATTGGCCCTTGGCCCTAGGTGAGCTAATTTCCAATAGCCATTCTCTGTTCTTCAGTTTTATCCTCCATAAAATGGGGATTATACCAGATCAGTTCTAAGGTGGGCCTGGCAAATTGTGATCTGGGCTAATGCTAGTTAACCATCTGCTTTTGTAAACAAAGTGCTACAGGATATAGCCACATTTACTTGGGGTCTCTTGACTGCTTTAATGTCACCAGAGCAAAGTTGAGCAGTTGTGACAGAGACCTTTAGTCCATAAAACCTTAAATATTTAATATCTAGCTCTTCCAAAAGTTTGTGAGTCTGTGCTCACGAGCCAACATGCTTACACATAGCAAGCATTCGGCAGCAGTGCAAGGAAACTGGCACTAGGCAGGAGGCTGGGAAGTGGTTGCCATGCTGAGCTGAACAGAGAGAAAAAGGGCAAATTGTGGGGAATTGATTCCATGTGAGACTTAAATAATGCGGGTCCTCAGTGAATCCTCAAACCCGTCTCTTTATTGATTGAAAAAGAGGAAGCAGCCAGGAAAATCAACAACTACACAGTTCAAGCTCATTAATCAGGACCCATCTAACAAGGATCATTAATTATCTGCAGTTTCTTCTCTCCTCTTGTCCCCAGCTCTCAACTTTTTGAAGACATGAATCACAAGAAAGCACCCAGATTTGTTTTTAAAACCAGGTTTCATAGGCCATGCTAAGCATGGACATAAATTCAGCCTCATCTCCTTTACTTAGTAGCTGGTTCAAGGAAAAGCATTCTTCTTCCAAGGGACACCCTGGAAAAAGAAGCTCATAGCATCCTTAGCCATCAGAGACGCCATTGGGTTGAGCAACTGACAGATTTTGAGCCAAGGCTAAAACATTCAGGGCTTCCTGTCTAAGCCTGGGTATCCAGAAGGGACTTCTCCAAAGCCTTTAATTCTCCCAAATTATGGAGATTTGAGGCTGCTGACCGTTTTTTGTAAGAACCATTGATCCTTGATCCTCCTTTGACTCCAGGAGAGGACCTGTGAACTTTCAGTAGAATCTGACAAGACCAAAAAACCATCCAGTGGGAAAGAAAAAAACCACCATCCCCAGTCACCAAACCATTCCCAGGATTAAGGCTCTTGGATGGCTTCACCCTAGTGCCCAAGCAGGGTCCTTGATGCAGCTGCCTACACACTCCATCCCTCACCCTGCTAAGGGTTTCTCTTTCTGCATCCCTCTCTGTGTTGCAAAACTGCAATGTGAGAGAGCAGCTGCCGTCAAAGAGATAACAGGAGGAAGGAGGGTAATGACAGCAGAATGGTGAATTCATTTTGATTCAATCTGTTATCCCCAACAGAATTTCAAAGAGTGCATCATTTGTTTGCTTATCATTCCACATCATTCCCTATTAAACAGGCTGAAACCCAAAGGGGAAAATTTTGATAGATCAGTAGAAGTAAAGAATCTGATCATTAGTTGTAACAATAAAAATGGATAATAACTGCACTGTGTTACCAAAGGAGATAATAACAATGCAAAGTTTATGCTGTAATTAGCCCACAAATGAAGGGGTGGGGGAGAAGCAGTCTAAGTAAGGAACCCAAGAGGAATTCCACAGAACAACTGGACCAGAAGTGCTAGAGTAGAGTCATAGCAACCAGGCTAGAAATCCAAACCAGCATGCTAAACAGCCGGATTGGTCCAGAAGGCAGGTGGCAC